AAAATACTAACAGCCAGAATCCAGAAATATATAAAGATTATATGCTGTGACCATGTGGGGTGAAGGTCAGCTTAACATCTGAAAATCAATTAATGATGAAGATTTTTCCACTTTTCAATGAAAGATGTTTCAAAGAAAAAAAATCATTTATTAATTAACGATTTTGCCTTCATTGAAAAAAATCAACGAGAGTCAATAGATCAAAGGACAAAAGAGTGATTATCAGATCCAGAAAACTTTTAGACAACATGTATACTCCTTCATTGATGAAAGCCCTCAAGCTAGCAGGAGAAGGATTCTTATTTAACTTGATTGGAGATCTAGTCCAAAGTCCTACAGGTGTCTTCCTAAATCAGGAACTATGAGGACATATTCTGCTCTGTTTGTATCAGAATTACATGGAGAATTGGACAAAGCAATGAAAAACAAAAGAAAGGGAAAAGAACAGACACTCAAATGGTCAGGGAAGTAAATCTGTCATGATCTTTCAAGGATGCTTGAGCCTTTTGTCACCAATCCTAATGGCCTGATTTTGATACCCAGGACAGGTTCCCCAGAGAACCAATTCCCTCAAATTGTCCTGGTATTCACTTAGATGTCCTGGAATACACACACACACACACACACACACACACACACACACACACACACACACACTACATACGCATACACACACATATACACACAGCACACACACACAAAATAAATTATTAAGTAAATTATGATATAATTTTGAATTTAAAAGCTGTGAGAACTAATAAAAAAAACAGCTTCAACAAAGTTTTGCAATGTAAGCCAACATATAGTCATCACTGTACTTCAGACAGTAAAAGTGACCCCAAAAAACATGAAAATTTAGAAAGTCATTTTAGTAGCACCAAAAAAAAAAAAAAAAAAGAGTAAAATACTTACATCTATACAGTTGAGGGTGTAGCTCGGTGGAAAAACATGTATTAGGTTAAAAAATGGGTTAGGTTAAAAAGCTTGGTGTGGTAGTACACACTTTTAATCTCAGTACTCAATTTCCTTTTTTCTCTTTTTTTAAGATGTATTTATTATATATAGTGTTCTGTCTGCATGTATGCCTGCAGGCCAGAAGAGGGCACCAGATCTCATTATAGATAGTTGTAGGCCACCATGTGGTTGATGGGAATTGAATCAGGACCTCTACGAAGCCAGTGCCCTTAACCTCTGAGCCATCTCTCTAGCCCTTTAATCCCAGCACTCAAGGAGGCAGGGGCAAGTCTCTGTGAGTTCAAGACCAGCCTGGTCTACATAGCAAATTCCAAACCAGCCAGGGCTACACAATGAGACCTTGTCTTTAAGGGGAAAAAAAATAGTTATTTAGATTTACTAACCATTTCATACCCCACAGCCACATGTGGCTAGTGCCCAAAGCACAGTCTGGCACGGACATTGACCATTCTCAGCATCATGGAGAGTTCCACTAGATACTGAAGCTTTAGGGACAGGCTCACCCCATGGGGGCAGTTGGCAAGGATATCACTGCGGATGAATGGGAGAGCATGGCCTTTGTACTAAATGGTGTTTAGACAGTTAACAGCCATGTTCAAAAGGAAAAAGAAAGTGTTCTTGATTCCTACCTCTCTTCATAGACAAAAATCAGTCCCTCATGGGTTTCAAATCAAATACACGAGAAAGGTGTTGGGTTTTCACCGATTCTCTAGTGATTGAAGCAGAGGAAATACCAAAGCCAGGCTGATTCCCATGGCTACACATAATCTCAGGGTCACTTTCTGTGGACACATTGTAACAGTCTAGAGTTTTTTAATTAAAAGGAGTCAGAAGTGAGAGTAACATACTGCATACTCCCTGTTCACATTGAGTTCAAAGCAGAACGAAGCTGTGCAGAGTTAAGTCAGTGGGTATCGTGGGTTGAGGAGGGAGTACCTGCATGGGTCCTGAAGCTCTGGTGATGTTCAAACCCTTGTGCATCAAGCTGTGCAGCTGCCATCTGTGTGTTTTTCTCTCCAGGGACGTCACAAGGTGTTCATTTAAAAAAAAGAAAGGAAGGAAGAAACCCTTCTTCGACATGAAAAAAAAAAAAAAAATGGTTCTTGCTGAATACATCCTTCATGATGACAAAGTTTTCTTTCAAGGAATTTTAGTGGTCCAGTACTGAGAGGATGGGGATATTACTGATAGGAGGGCCAGTTGATATGATGGGAAAGCATGGACCTTGCCAGTGGTCAGTTCTAGACACAGACCCCAGAGAAACTTCATCGCTTGTGCATTAGAAGTAGACAGCAGTACTCACGGTAGGACAACCAATAACAGACACTGGATCAAGCAGCTTGGGAAATCGGCTAATAAGATGTGGTGTTTTGTATAGTGAAGTTCAACAGTAAAGAGGAATATATGCACATATATAATTATAAAACCCTAAGGCGGGGATGGTAGTTACATGTGTATAATAGCACATGTGTATGGTATAATATTATAATCACACATGTGTGTAACGTGTGAAACAATGCCATGTGCACTCCTTGGTGTACCCACCTGGCCCTGCACTTTAAAATGGCTGAGGGTGTGTGGAAGCCTTAGCAGCCACAGCATGTGGAAAATGTAAAGGAGAGCTGAACAAGGAGGACAGAAGAAACTTCCGCTTGAACTCATCCAGCTTCTTTCATCTGAAAAGCAGATGTGAGGCTGGTGATGTTCAGCAGGTAAAGGCACCAACGGGCAAGACTGCTGACCCAAGTTCAAACCCCTGGGCCCACACGATGGAAGGAGAGAAATGGCTTTTTCATGTTGTTCTCAGACCTCCACATACCACAGTGCCACACGTGTGCACGTGTACACACACACATTTACACCCACACCCACACAAGCGCACACAAATGCGTACAAAATAAGCAAAATGTAGTAAGTGTTTGAAGCAAATGTAGCAAAATATTAACATCTGTTTCCTGGTGTCAGCTCTAGGGTGTTAGGTTTTTATTGTTGTTGTTTTGTTTTGTTTTGTTTTTTTGTTTTTTTGACCTCTTTGTTCAGTCACTCAAAAAAAAAAAAAAAAAGTCCAGATAGTATTATCATTCATCATTTAGCCTTAAACTTGTTTAGGTGTTTTCTGTCCCTGTTTGTTTTAAGAAAAACAATGTATATAAATATAAGCAGGGCTGAATAGCTGTTTCCTTTCCTTTGTTTATGTTCACCAAAACATGCTTGTTTCATTTCACATCCGAAATGTTTGGTATTGAAATGCGGCCTTTGTATAAACTCGTGAGGGCTGAGACGAGAGGATTACAGTTTTAGCACAGCCTGTGTGCCAGGGACCTGCTTCCTGTGATACCCATCCCCCGCCCCACCCACCTCCATCACTAAAGCATCCGTTTGTGTTACAGCCAAGTATTTGCAAGCAAAGAAGAAAGAAGTCAGAAAGGTTTTCCTTGTGGGTGCTTATTAAGATGGAAACCACTGATGTGTACTGGACCAATGTCCAGACTCTGAATGACTGACAAGGGTTAGGCCCCTCACCTTTTCCGTGGCCTGTGGAGCCTGAGCCAACCCCTGCATTGAATCCAGGGAGCCCCAAAACTCTGGAGGGATGGAGGCAGGGCACGGCACACAAAGTCTGCTGTTTGACTGTCGTCTGCCTAGCCTGTCTTGATTTTCCACCCCCCTTCATCACCTTGGTGGAGTGTACACTGGTTGTTTTAGTTGTGTTCGGCAGTACCAGGGGCCTTGAACGTGCTGGGAAGAGCCCTGCAGCTGAGCCACATCTCCAGCCCTGTTCAGTTTAGTTGTTTTAGGTTCGTACTTTTACAGACATGACCACACACTGTGACAATTACTCCCTAGACTGGCCACCTGTTCAGTAACCTTCTGCAGCGTCCCCCAGACAATTGCCTTGACCATACTGGAAAAGTTAACAAAGAAATGTAAACTCAGAACAGACTAAATATTATACAGCGAGGTCCAAAGTGGGAAGCTTATAAATATGTAAACATGCGTATAGTCGTGAGTACACCCGGCCTCTGCCTTCAGGAGTCAACCAATATCCTCAGCTGACGCTGAACTTGACTTCACATAGAGCATTCTTCTCTGCAGCAGATGAGAGGGCATGCTCAGCTTGAGACTCTTCCCAGGTCTAAGTTCAGAGCCCTGGATGTATGTAGGCAGTCTGTCATCACTGGGCTCTAGGTTGCCCTGGGACTGTCCAGCAAGCTCAGTGGTGGTGGCTGAGTAAGTCAAGGGTCAGTTATTAGCATTTTTTTTCCTCTGTGATCTGAAGCCATGTCCTCTGTGGGTGATTCATTAGTACAAAAGGTGATGGTTTAGGTCAGTCTGCCTCTGTCCATTAACTGGTTCTAAACTTGAAGTGAGGTGAGTATTAACAACTGTTCCCTCAGAAACTTGGTCAATTGCTAAAAGACCTTGCAATGATGAATTGATATAATTCATGCTACCTAAGAATAGTTTATATGCCCATAGTTATTCTGTTGAATAGTTAAAAGCATTGCTCACCAACTTTTAAATTTCACGAATGGTTTAAAGCTAAATATATCCTCGGTTTTTTGTGGTGTGCTTAACCTCTCCTAGCTTGAGACAGACATCATAAAGTATGCATTTATAATTTAATATGCTATCTGCAAAAGCATAAGTGTTCAAAAAATGTACTTTACTAAAACATTTAAGAGTAAAAAGAACTCACACACAACTCCTCGTTCAGTTGCTGTAACAGACACTGCTATGCATATGGCCTCTGTGTCTTGGCGGGAGGCAGTGATTTTAAGGCTGGATTAGTCTTCTAATCTCTTTGGGGTTTGCTTTATATTTGTGGTGGTTTATGACTGACATCTAATATAACTATACTTTCTGTTTATATTTAATAAAAGATTCGTTTCTGTGGCAGGACACACATTTGCACGCTGCTGTTGAATAAAAGCTACTGTTCCGCAAGAAGGGTATAAAATGTTGATTTATAATGACTCAGGCCAATAACAGCAATGTAATTCTTCCACACTGTTTCTTCCCAGGTCCTGGCGAGAGCATAGCTGAAGCAAAGAACGATTCTTTTCCTTTAGAATATTCTGCCTTTAACACATCTATCCATGCTGGGATTAGATACAAGAATTGGAAGCTCCTCACAGGCCACCCAGGTTAGACTGCTTAGCTCCCTTCCTATGGCTGCAGAGCAGGGGCTGTGTCCCCAATCTTTCTGTCCTCTTGGGACTTCATTCTCTGGGTCATTCCCATAGAAAGGGAGGTTGTTATCACTGTGTTCTAAGCCCTTTTCCTCCTTTCCTAGCTCCTCAAGGCTCCTTGCCAACCCCCTGTTTTCTCAGACATCTGAAACGCTAACTAGTCCTTCAGATCTTTTATGGTCCCTGCAGATCTTAAGAAAGCAGGATATCTACTTGGGGTTTCATGGCCTCTGTCTGGTCTGTATTATGCAACTTCTGCTGTTGTCATGGCCTAAATAGACTTCCCACCAAAAAGGACAGCTCACCAAAACGATGGCTGCCTTTAAAAAAAAAAATAATAATAAAAATGTTCTTGTCTCTTTGAGGCTGCAGAGTAGAGGAATGGCCTCAGCTGTTCAATCTGAACTTCCTCTGAGTTTTCGGATCTTGTTTTATTTTTAATTACCCCCATCACAAAATCCCACATGAATGATTCATAGACTCTATGGATTTCAGACATGTGTGGCTGTCAAACGTAGCACATCTAGCTAGCCAATCCTCCAGCAATGCTGTCTGTTTCACTTACTCCGTTCTCAGAACGGGACATGTTGGCACATTTACACAGGCTCTGATGCAATTCAGCCGTGCTTAGCTTGTGAGTGTTCTTGGTGTTTACAGTGACAGTTCATTGCTTGGGATTGTCCTGGGTATCACACTGTGCTGTGCTTGCTAAATACCTGGAGTACATTCATTCCCCCGCCCCCCAGTCACCGTGACAACTGAAATTCTTCTCCCACCTCCGCCCCACATGTACTTTTGATGCCCCTGTCGTAAAGCAACAGGACCTGTCCCATTAAAGTATGGGAGTCATATTCTGAGACAAAGCTATAATCAGGCGGGATTTTTTGTTTTGTTTCTTATATAGCCAGACCCACAGCCAGGGCAGCCATGCGCCCGCCCCCCGATGCCCTGAGATTAGAACTCACAGTGCTTCTCCCCACTGAGTGGGTTTCGTGTCTTCTTCTTTTTCCAGGCTGTGGTTTCTGGTTCCCACCTCCATCTCAATCCAACATTTCTGAGATACAGTCACTGGATTCATCAACCAAGACACTCTGGCTGTTTGATATCAATGAGGACCCTGAGGAAAGACACGACCTGTCCCAGAAGCATCCCCACATTGTCCTGAAGCTGCTTTCCCGCCTGCAGTACTACCACGAGCACTCTGTGCCTTCCTACTTCCCACCCATGGACCCCCGCTGTGATCCCAAGGATACCGGCGTGTGGAGCCCCTGGATGTAGGGCTCCAGAGGGCCGGGAGTCTGAGCACAGTTAGGTGCAGGCTAGACCTTGGGCCCCTACTCATTTGACTTTTCTCTCCTTTTAAAAATCACCCGAGTCACTTCACATGGCCCTCATGCTACATAACCCACCAAGGGAGTCCAGTTTCAAACCACAGTACATTCCAAAAGCCAGTAAAATATGGACGATCCTGCTGTTGGCTGGAGTTAGTGTCTGGAGCCCAGGGTGGCTGGGTTCATCCTGCTTCCTAAACTGCAGTCGCTGGGAACGGAACTTGACATAGGAAGCTATCCCTGAGTCCTGAGGCCAGAGCAGCTGGCTCTTTTTGCTTCACAAGTCAGTCATTAGAACTCCCTCTGCTAATAACCACTTTTATTGGCAAGACACATGTAACAAAAGAGGCAGAAGATTGCTAGTTGTTCTGCTGGCCATAAGGGCTCCCTGTCTATGGGATCTTGCTCAGCTTCCACACCCATGACCCGCCAGCTCACCCTTCACTCCTTCATCTCCCTGTGGAGGGGAAAGCCCATTGCAATAAGCCAGCGTGGAGGATGCCCATGCCTTTGGTTTCCAGATGACTAAAGGTATTTTACCCTGCTACCCCACTCTCTATTGCTCATTCTGTCTAGACTTCTGCTACCCTGGCTTGTATGGCTCTGTTCCTGTTATGCCTTTGGACTACAGTGTCCTGTGTCTGAGGTCACTTTCCCTTCCACTCCAAGCATTCTGAGCTCTGGGATAGTCCTAAGCCCTGCCCCGAGAGGATGGACTGGTCATTCTGTGGCCATGCTCATGGGTGTTGTGGTTCCGTGGCATCTGCTAAGGTGGTTGCATGGAATCCAGGAGGATTGCGGATGTGTCACCGATATGCCATGATCTATGCTGCTTTCTCAAGCAGTGGGAAGAAAGGCCAGGAAAGCACTTTTGTCCTGGGATGATGGAAGGGGCAGTTTGAGAAAGGGTGTGGCCAGTGTCTGGTGTGTTGGCCTTAGTAAAACCGAGGAGACACCATGCTTATTCCTCTCTTATTCCTCTCTTATTCTGGGGTTGAAGAATGAGAATACATTATTTGACTTTCCACCCTTCTCAGACATCCTTATATTCTGCTAATCTGACTCCATCCAGATTAGCCTCAGAGAGTGTCAAACCCAGATAGATGCAAAACCCTGCTCCTCCTCACCATGGTTGCCTTGTTCACGGCTTACTCCAACGCCTGCAACAGGGTCTGGGGTATAGGCACCCAGTATGCTTTTTTAAATGAGTGAATGAACTGAATAAATGGGAAAGACTCACCATGAAAGATACTAGTCCAGTGAGCTGACTAGAAGGGCAGTATCAATGTCCTCCAGCCCATGCTAGTCTGTCCTTAAGTTGTCCCCTCTGGCCTGGTAGGAGCTTGATCTGTATATCTGGGCAGTCACTGGTCTTGCATGGTAGGACTGTGATATCCTCTCCAGGGGGACAAAAGGTATCCGTTTTTGTCAACAATCTCCATTTCCATTCTTTGCCAAGCACTAGAAATTAAAACAACTATATAATATGATATAGGTCCTTATGTACAGCCATCTTCAGTTTAGTAGCAATATTTCCTGACCATTAATATTCTGTATTTTATTGTGATAAGACTATTGCAAGAAAATGGTGCTACAGCTAATGACATCTTTTACCAACCTTTACTCAACTGTGCTGGCAGAAAGCTAGCCATCAGGCCACCCCTTACTCCAGAGCCTATGGCGAGAGCCTGAATGGCATGAGACTGGATGCTCCTTCTGTCCCACGGCAGTAGGTGACTGTTATTCTTCTGAGACTGAAGATTACTACTTCATAACACCCATTTGCATTTCCCTCATTATTCTCTGAGCAGCTGCCCTCAGTCCTAGCTCTTTGATTGTGAGCTATCTTGGGAATGTTAACATAGCTAGCGAGCTCTTTGAGTGTGGGCTATCCTTGGCATGTTAACATATGAATGGGTTAAAGAAGATTTTCAGAAAATGTTTTTAAAAATGACTAGAGATTCTGTTTAGTAAAACAAATAGAATGGCATAGGTCTCAGGAGCAATCTCCTTGGATTTTTATGATTTATGTAAAAAGAAAAGATTCATAACTTCTCTTTGGAAATGTTAATGTTAGTTCTTTCCAAATGTGTTTACCTTTAAAGAAGGTTTTGTTTATTAACCTTCAAACTTGCCTCTTTGTTACCACATGACTGTTCCAGATTTGAGGGACAAAATAAACCTAAAACTGTCAGCCAGGGGGGTCTCTGCTTGTGATGGTTGTAAGTTCAGGAGCCCGGCAGCGGTGGCAGTATGTCATGGTGGACCCAGCGTGCCAGTACACTGAAAGGCGGAGAAGGAAAACAGATGTTGTGTAATACAGGCATTGCCATATTTTTTTCTGATTTGCCAGTTTTATATTACATGAATGTTATGTCAACACATCCGTTACACAAATAAGAGCAAATATATCACAGTTTTGTTTTAATACGTACTGCCAGTGAGATTGCTCAGAGAGTAAACCACTTATCACACAAGCCGAATAAGCTGAGCTTGGCTACAAAACTTGTCCTCTGACATATGTGCCCTGTCGTACACACATGCACAGTAATAATAAGTAAACATTAGAAAGAAACAAGCGAGACATTGCCCTAAGAACATACATCATGGGGCGAGGGGGCAGAGAGCTTGACTCACACACAGGCCCTGGTTCCGTACTTTAGCGCCACAGAAAAGGAACGTTCACTGCAGAGTATTAGAGTGGCATCTTGTTTCGACAATAGACTTGCAGTGGTGACCGCATCCTAGGGGCTTGGCTTCAGGTGTGCAAATGTGACCCCTTATAAGGAAGAGGAGGGGCTGGCAGAGAACTCCGGAAGAGCAGAGACTGCATCTCCAGGAGCAGGAAGGCACAGCGGCCATTTACTATTAATTGCGTAAGTTCTTCCCTGATAAATACCTGTTCATAGTTTAACTTGGCTCTCATGGACTCATTTAAACCCCACCTTCAGGCGTCAGGGAAGGGCAGGCATGAAGATGGTGATGACAGAGCTTGGTAGATTTTGATTGCTGGCTAAGAAATGATCCCAAAAGTTAGAAGCCCCAAACAACAGACATTGATTCTCGCACATGTGGCATAAGGGCAAGGACTCGGGATTTAGCTGTGGGTTCAGCTCTGGGGCCTTTCGGAGTCTGTGGCCCAGCAGTTGAGGAGACACCATCTGAGGCTTGGATGTGATGGGATGATTGGTTCTGAGATGCCCCGTGGGCTGGCTGTGGCCAGAAGCCTGAGTTCCTTGCCATGTGGGCAACAGTGGTGACTCTGAGGATGTCCTCACCTGTGAGGACAGGCCGTCTAGAGAGGGGGCAGCGGGCAGGGAACCTCGGCGCCTTTTATGACCTAGTCTTCAGAAGTGTACAGGTCACTTCTGCCTTTTTTATATTCATTATAAATGGCACTAAGTAAGCCCATACGCAGGAGAAGGAGCACACTTTTGAAGAGACTTTTGGATCTGTGCTTGTATTTTGCTGCAGTAGATACAGTTCACCTCCTGGGGGAAGAGGTTGCCCACTCAAGTTGGCATGCATTTATCACATGCTGCTGTTGGAAAAGAGGTGGCAGGAAAAGGTTCCAGCTTTATTTCAGTGGTAGAACAACCACTGAAGCAAATTATCTAACCAGCTCATTGCCTCAGTTTCCCCCTCTGGTAAGGAGATGGTTGAATTAGCCGATCCCAATACGCAATCTTTGTCCAGACATAAAATTATTTAAAACAAGAAAGTGAAATGTCTTTTAAAATATTTATTTTAGTGTGCATGTGCGCATGTGTACAGGAACGTATGTATGAGTACCAGAGAAGCTGAAGAGGGTGTGAGGTCCCCTGACGTCAGCTGCCTTGGGTGCTGGGAGCTGAACCTGGGCTCTCTGGAAGATCTGTAAGGGTTCTTAACAGCTGTGCCATCTCTCTAGACGCATTTTATGTTTGTTTTTTTTTTAAGACTCATTAGAGGAGTAGCTCAAGTATCCATTAACATATAAGTGGGTAATAAAGCACGGTGTATACATAATAGAATGTTTCCCAGTCACAAAAAGAAGTGCTGTTTTCATACATTCAAAAATTTTGATTAACTTTGAAAGCATTGTGATAAGTAAAAGACACTGGACATGGAGGACAATAGTGCATAATTCCACGTGAGGAATTATTAAAAGCAAGAGCATACAGGGTCAGTGAGATGGGCCAGTAGGCAAAGGTGCTTGCTGCTGAGTCTGGCGACAGAAGTCTCACACAGTGAAGAAGAAGAAGAAAACTCCATCGTTCGCCCTCCCTGTGCCAGGGCACACGCTAAAAAAAAGAAAAAAGGGGGGGGGTAATGTAATACCCAAGTATAACATGGAAAGACCCGAGTAAAGATACCACTTGGGGAAACAGAGACTGGGAAGATGTTGTTCATTGGGGACAGAGTGTCTGAAGTCTGCATAGCCTAGCCTTGTGATTTCCTAAGGGTGAATGCAGTCAACCAGGTGGCAGGAGACACATTGCTCTCACCTTTGCCCAGTTGCCATGAAAGCCACCCAGGATGGTACAGACACGCAGGAAGGAAGGACACTGCACTCCCTTGGTTTCAGGATGTATGGCCGTTGGGACATCAGAGGGCGGCTTGCAGGCCAATGAGGGAGTCCAGTTCATCTTAACATTTTCCAGTTTGTTTTTCACCTCCATGAGACAACTGTTAATACAAAGACCTTTGACTATGCACACTTTGACTCGTGACAGAAACCGCTAGTGTGGTTTGGAAGGGTTATAGGGACTGAATGAAAGCATTCCTTTGGATTTATGGCATGTAGCTGGTAGGACTGTGTGCCACCGCCAGCCAGGTCCTCCTCTATGTATCCTGTAGTGTCCAATCACCACGGCCCACAGGTCCAGCCCCACTGTTCCTAAGGACAGCCAGCACCCCTGAAGTTTCCCAGAGTGCCCAGGCCACTGCTGCCACTCTTCCAGACCCACTCACTGTGAGAAGACAATATGGAACTTTCCCCTAAAGTCACATGCTCACTCTGTAAATGCTTTCAAGTAGTGCCTTCACCACGAGAAAGGGGAAGTAATGATAGAAACACAATGAATACAAATTGCTCTTAAATGTTAGCTCAGAATTATTTCCAGCCTGGAAGAAAGAACTGAAATGTGAATAAACTCTCACCCAGCGAGCTGGGGTTACTGATGCCAAGACTGTGACTTGGCAGCACTGCCTGAAGGCAAGTGACAATTGCCAGGGTGCACAGGCAGCCTAGAGTAGGGAGAGAGGACTTCTGCCGACTACCAGATATGGGGTCGATATGAAAAGTGCTGCAGAATGAAAGAACATTAAAAGCAAACCACCCAATCAATAAATGGGCTAATAAACTGAATGGAGTATTCTCAGAAGAATCAATACCAGTGGTGGGGAGATGGCATATTAGCCAAGTGCACTTGCAGTCAAGCCTGGGGGCCTGATTTCAAGTCTCCAGTATCCACATAGAGACCCAGGTAAGGCTGCCCCTTTCTGCAGCCTTCATTCTGTGGGCAGTGGAGACTGTGGTTTCTAGGGCTCATTGGCTGCCAGCCTCACTCCAGGTTCAGTGAGAGATCCTGTCTCAAGGGAGCAGGGCAGAGAGAGGGGGGAGGAGAGAGAGAGAGAGAGAGAGAGAGAGAGAGAGAGAGAGAGAGAGAGAGAGAGAGAGAGAGAGAATATAAACTAACCAATGAATACTTTTAAAAGTGTTCGGCATCCTCAATCATCAGAGAAGACAGATCTTGTCTGGCTGGCACAGTAGCACAAGCCTTTAATCCTAGTACTGGGAAGGCAGAGGCTGGCAGACGCCTGCGAGTTCTAGATTAGGCTAGCCAAGGCTAGATGATGAGACCTTATCTCAAAAACCTAAAGCTGAGATTCCGTCTCACTCCAGTTAGAATGGCTGTCGTCAAGTTAACAAATGACAAATACTGAAGAGGACACGAGGATAGAGGAGCCCTCATACACCTCTACTGGGAGCATAAGCTGGTGTAGCCATGAAGATTCAGGTTTCCCTGCTTCTGCAAGTAGAATACCATTGCCCCGGCCTTGTCACTCCTGGGTATAAGCCTGCAGGACCCCACATCAACAAACCATGCAGGGAGTTTACTCAGCCACTGTAGTAGCTCCATGAAACTCCCTGCTCCCAGGACGTAGGCGTCTAGAGACAGGGTTATCCGTGAAAGCTTTGTTTATCCCAGCTGGAAAGATTTCAGGGTCTTCATCAGAGCAGGGCAAACCTTTACGCCCTCCAGCCCCCTCAGAGCAGAGACTTTACCATTTTACCCTGGGATCTCCTCCAACAGGTCAGCTCATGACTTCAAACCCTTGTATAGTCTCCAGACTGGATGTGTTCAGATTTTCCCCTTCATCTTCCAGGCTTCTCCTCAGAGTTTCGCCTTTCACTGGCTCCTGCTGTATGTCAGATGCTTTCCTGCCTGACCTTCCCTGCAGGGTACTGGCTTTGGAATTTATGCCCGGTGCTGAGACACTTCTTGCAAAGTCAAGGGCAAGCCATCAAGGGCAAACAGTATGTTTCCTGGCATCTTTTAGTTATCAACCCCTGTCTGTAGACTTTTCTCCTGCCACAGGGTAGTGGGTGGCTCGGGAGACTATAAATGACAGAGATAAACTACTGGTACCTTAAGTAAAGTGAATTTTGGGGGGAAAGTAAAGGCAGGCATCTTGGTAAAACATGTAAGATACTAATTATGTTTATCAAAATTTTTTAAGTGATTCTTCTATTTTCCTCTCAGCTGTCCTCAGAAATCAAGAAAATGGCTCCATATTAACATTTACCATATAAATTATCTAGTGATGTCTAATGATCTACCACAATACTACATCTAAAACCAGAAAACACATACTGTCTCCCAGTGTCTGAGGGCCAATAACTGAGGTATGGCTTGTCTCAGGGACTCTCATGAGTTAGGCATCTGGACTGGAGGTGTGGCTTGGATGAATAGGGTGCTAGTGAGAGTTCTCATGATGGGAACTACAAGTACTCATATCTTAACCTCTTAGAAATGATATCCTACAGCCAGGCGGAGGTGGTGGTGCACATCTTTAATCCCAGCACTCCAGTGGCAGAGGCAGAGGAAAAGGCAGGCAGATCTCTGAGTTTGAGGCCAGTCTGGTCTACAGAGCAATTTTCAGGATGGCCAGGGCCACACAGAGAAACCCTGTCTCAAAACAAGCAAACAAACAAAAAAACAAGAAAAAGCATTAAAAAAAATATGAACTCTACTCCACAAGGCTCAGGTATTGGTTCCTACCTGGTAGATTAACCCTTTGAGAGAGTCATAATTTGTTGACATTTGGGAAGGCCATGGACACTTTCCTAAGAAGGGCCTGTTTTTAGGAAGTAAGTTACTTGAAACAAAACCATGTGGGATGACCCGTGTGTGTGTGTGTGTGTGTGTGTGTGTGTGTGTGTGTGTGTGTGTGTTCTTCTGTTCCTCCTTTCCTTTTTCCCTTCTTCCCTTCCTCTCTCCCTCCTCCCTTCCCTTCCTCCCTTCCTCCTTCTGTTCCTTTTTTCTTCTGCCCGGTTGCTGTGAGGCAAGCAGTCTCTATCCTATTCCTATACTCCTCTGCAGTAATTTTCTTCCTCACCACAGGCCCAGAAACAATGGGGCCAGCCAAACAGGGAGCAAAACCACCGAAGCCATGAGCTGAAGCACACCTTCCTTCCTTCAAACTTTCTGTCAGGCGTCTGTCACAGCAGTGAAGCAGTTAGCTGGCACATGCCTTTCATAGCTGTTTGTTAGAAGTCTGCTACTGAACCCAGAACCTGCTCAGGGCGGGTTTCCTCAAAGGTGTGAGCATCAGAAGGCAGGAAGGCGTGAATATCAGAAGGCAGGAAGGCGTGAATATCAGAAGGCAGGAAGGCGTGAATATCAGAAGGCAGGAAGGCGTGAATATCAGAAGGCAGGAAGGTATGAATATCAGAAGGCAGGAAGGTGTGAATATCAGAAGGCAGGAAGGTGTGAACATCAGAAGGCAGGAAGGTGTAAACATCAGAAGGCAGGAAGGTGTGAGCCTCAGAAGGCAGGAAGGTGTGAGCATCAGAAGGCAGGAAGGTGTGAATATCAGAAAGCAGGAAGGTGTGAACATCAGAAGGCAGGAAGGTGTGAATATCAGAAGGCAGGAAGGTGTGAATATCAGAAGGCAGGAAGGCGTGAGCATCAGAAGGCAGGAAGGTGTGAGTCTTAGAAGGCAGGAAGGTATGAATATCAGAAGGCAGGAAGGCATGAGCATCAGAAGGCAGGAAGGTATAAACATCAGAAGTCAGGAAGGTGTGAGCCTCAGAAGGCAGGAAGGTGTGAGCATCAGATGGCAGGAAGGTATGAGCCTCAGAAGGCAGGAAGGTGTGAATATCAGAAGGCAGGAAGGTGTGAACATCAGAAGGCAGGAAGGTGTGAACATCAGAAGTCAGGAAGGTGTGAATATCAGAAGGCAGGAAGGCGTGAGCATCAGAAGGCAGGAAGGTGTGAGCATCAGAAGGCAGGAATCACTAGGACTCACCTGGGGACTGGGGACTATGCCCTGCTCCCACCAAATCACCTTCTCCAGTCTGTCTTACTGCTGTTCTCTCCTACTGCTCTCTCCCTGCCCTGCCCCAAGTTCAGAATACATTTATGAAGAGAACAAGTCACTGTTTCCATCACTTTATCCTATCACCGAGAAAATGGCCTTCAGTCATAAGTTCATGAAGCTGGGTGTGTTGCTCATAGAACCATGGAGACTCAGCAGTATGGGCAAAGATGACTTCGAAAGAAGCTGAGCCAGTGTTACAGTGCTGGAGGGTGATGTTCAGGGTTAGGAAGAGACTTCCAGAAGTCTGGGCTGGAGAGAACACTTCTGCAGAACAGGACTTGAAGCTGGGGGCTCTACCCTATTGCACCTTAGTAGCCTACACTGGAGCTCAAAAACATGGAACCCCAAAGTTACCTCCCCCTAGCATGCTGACTCCTTTGAGCTGAAGTGAAGGGGCTCCAAAGCAGGACCTCTCTCTTTCTCTGCCTCGTTTCTACCTTCCATCTCTCCACAAACAATCTGACTGTGTTTGTCGATTGAATGTCTATTCAGCTGTCTGGTCTTCCTCAAGCCTAACCACACGAATGAACAGCTTTCTGTGAGCCATGGGACTTGTTTCCGAAGACGCCACTTTCCCATAAAACTACATTTAAATCAATTTGCTGTGTTTTTTCCTTTGTTGTCTCTTGAAGACTCAGACCTGAACAGTCTTAACTCGGGATTGTGCTGGGCCCAGATGGTCACAGAGGTCAAACTAGTCTTGATAAGTATCCCCTCAGGCTCCCTTAGAAACTTCCAAAGCTCTTCTGGCTCTGAGATTCAACATACTGCCTTCTGCTGAGCTCTTGGCAATTCCCTCTGCTGGCTCTAATCAGTCCTTACCTCCGTCTTGGCTGGGACACATGGAAGGTATAACTCCTCTTTCTGGGATGGCAGAGGCACTTGCTTGTTCCCCTGTCTGATATCTAATCTCCTATGTTAGTGCTTGGGGAAGCAAAAGTTGTCATAACATAGTGTTGGCCGATGAGCCCCGCCCCCTTTTATGCAAAGTGTCCTTGTACAAATATTCTGCCATTATTAGACCAGGACTCACCTTCCCTCTGGTTCTGCTCAGCCTCTGATGCTGTAAATATATAGGAAGATAAAGCAATGATGTTGGAGCTCTCTCTCTCTCTCTCTCTGTGTGTGTGTGTGTGTGTGTGTGTAAATCCCTTCACTAAGAAGGATCTGACAGAAACTAGAGCAGTCACTAGCAAAGGAGAGACAACTGACAGGACACAAAGGGCTTTTTTCAAAGGAGGTGATTTGAATATCAAAGGTAGAAGAAAGGCCTTCAGGAAACTGATGAAAGTCTTGGATTTTTTTTTTTTTTTTGCAAAACATTTCTCTTTATCTTCCTGTCTTTGAATGTAAAATAAAGGAAGCCATTTAATAGCACCGAACAGCTAATGCCCCAAAAATGGACCCTTTTTTTTTTTTTTTTTTTTTTTTTGCAGGCTAAGAATGAATACATGCATCTCTATGCCTCCCACATCCACTTTATAAAGCACATAGAAATTATTTTTCTGATTTGTTTGAAGCTTGGCTTGAAGATGAAGTTGCCCTGTGATTCCCTGACATTTTAGAGGGGCACAGACAGCGGGGTGAGGAGGTGCCAGACTGAAGGCAGAGCCGAGGAAGGAGAAGAAAAATGTTAGGTGGTAGCAGTGGCCAACAGGATGTGGACTGGAACACATCCTGTTATCTCAGGTGTCTGCTGCTGCTTCAAAGTGAGTCAAAGGTGAGCATTCTGAAGAGATGCGCTGGGGAAGCCATCCGCTGGCTGGGGAGGAGCGGGCAGCAGGAGGTCAGGAAGCAATAGAAAGATCTGTGATGGAACCTCCCAAAGATCACAACAAGCTCAGGCTATCGCTTCTTTATTTAAAAAGGGACATCCCCTCATGCAGGATTTTTGCCCTTCTGAACCCCTGCCATGTGAAGACATTTGTCACTTCCCATAGAGACAACATTTCCTTAGACACAGGACCAGCCTTCACCAGACACTAACCTGCCTGCCTGAATCTTGAACTTCCACCCTCCAAAAACATAAAGTTCCATTCATTATAAATTACTCAGGCGCTAATATTTTGTTATAACAAGAAGAGACGAAGACATAGTTGCTGCCTTGTGGGAATTCCAACATCAATTACTTCTTTTCTGTCATGGGGATTCAAACTCCCTGCCTGTTAGCAATATCCAGCTCTGATTTGGCTAATGTTCAGTTATCAATCATTCACAGATCTGTTGCCAAAACTAATGTTGACCAAACCCAGTTCTCTATTATAGGTACATGGTGCCAGCTCTGAGCCAGGTCCAAGGACAATTGCCTAACTTAATGGGATCAATGTGTCATGACTTACATTGAAGACTCTTGGCTGGATATCTACGCACATTTCTGATGTTCAGATATTCAATGGACTCCCAAAGGAATTGGGGTGGGAGTCAAGTGTCATTGTTCTGTCTGGGTCCTGGCTGCAAGTGGCCCCATGGTTGGTGGTGGTGATGGTTTTCTGAACCTTCCAGGAAAAAGATTGTACCATTAACACATACCAAGGGGTCTCTCGGGTGTCTGTTCATGATACAAAAGAGAAAGGTGGGGTTAAATGTAAGGACAGAGAGACAGAAAATTCCACTGAACCAAGGAAACAAAACTGACTATCAAGCCAGGTGACATTTTTCTGCTCTTATTTGAGTCATCTTAAAGACTATTCTGGAAGAATACCATGAGTCAAAGTGACTTCATTTGAATGCTCTCCCTTCCAACATTTGTTTGGGTTACACATTCTAATGTATTTATCTAAGTCATTCCTGCCTGTGATAGCTATCCCTGCAATCCCTACTAGGATCATGAGTTCCAAGCCAGCATAAGCTATTTCATGAGGTCATGCCTCAAAAAGAAAAAAAAAATGGAGAAAATGGAGAGGGTTTTTATCATTTTTAAAGCCATAATCTAGACAGACATTCATGGGGGGGGGCGGCTCTGGGTAAAAATAAAATAATTCTAGCTGAGATGAGCAAATGCACTAATTTTGATGTGTATCTGGGGCCTACTTTGTGTTAAACATCTTTAAACTTGCCAATCCAGAAGAAAGGAGTTGTGTGTTTACTATGGAAATCAACGAAATGATAGTTACAAGTCATAGGTTTTTATACTACAAAACAGTTTATGTTTGACTTCCATTCAGCAGCTAGATCTTGGGGCTGCAGAGATGGCTCAGCAGTTAAGAGAGCATACTACTCTTGCAGAGGACCCGAGTTCAGTCCCCAGTGCCCATATTGGACAGCTCACAATTACCTGTAACCCCAGCTCCAAGGGATCCGATACCGTCTTCTAGCCTCCATGGGTACTCCACTCACATGCACATGCCCACACACAGACACACATGGATATATATGTATGTATGTACACATACATACATACATATATATAAATCAGGATGACACAGAGATTAGCATGGTCCTTGCTCAAGGGTGACATACAAATTTATGAAGCAGTCCATATTTTAACAAATAAATAAAATAGGGGCTAGAGAGATGGTTTACTGTTTAAGAGCATTGGCTGCTTTTCCAGACATCTAGGATTTGGCTCCCAGAACCTACATAGCAGCTCACAACTGTCTGTAACTCCAGTCCCAGGGGAATCCAGCACCCTCTTCTGGCCTCTGTGGGTAACCTACACATGTGATGAGTAGACATATATGCAAGCAAAATAAGTAAAAAAAAAAATACATACACACACACACACACTCACACATATATATTTGATTGTGAGCACTTTTAACGGCTGAGCCATCTCTCCAGCCCTAAGTCTTCCTTCCTTCCTTTCTTTCTTTCTTTCTTCCTTCCTTCCTTTCTTTCTTTCTTTCTTTCTTTCTTTCTTTCTTTCTTTCTTTCTTTAATGATGGATCTTCTTGAGCCCTGAAGTTGCTGAGGCAGATGGAGTAGATGGGTTTGTGGATGTCATATATTAAATTAAATCAGAGTCATTATGTATCAAGCAATCCATAAACTGCAAGTTGGAGCACTGTGCATGCTCAGAGAGACTGTCCTGATTGCACAGGACATATAGCCTAGGAAACTGTCCTGAACACTCTCCTAATCTGTCTTTCACTTTCCACTCATTTTAGTATTCAACCCAGCAGAGGTTTTTTTTCTTTTTTTCTTTTTTCTTTTGCCATAGGCTAAGTGATGTGAGCACTGGACACAGAGCCCGGCTTCCCCAGGTTTGACCCCTGGTACACCCAGAGTATTATAGCCACATGGTCTCTTGCTCTCTTGCCCTTGACTGCTTCTCAGCACTTACACCAGACTAGGTCAGCTTTCCTAGAGAACAACCAGCAAGTGTAACAATCTGGGACTCCTATGTTGACCTCAGAATCAAATACAGTAAGTAGATTGGCGGTGGCAGGAAGTAAACAAAAACACTTCTACACTAATGTCGAGATTCTAATTTGTTCTTTTCTTTCCAGAAGATATCTTTCCAAAGAATCCTGTCTTAGCACATTTTCTGTTGCTATAACGAAATACACGAGACCAGTACGTTGTAAAGAAAAATGATTGCTTAGCTCACAATTTAGGAGGCTGAAAGTCCAACAACATTAGGGACAGTAAGATGTGGGTAAAGACTCTTGGTGCCAAGCCTGATGACTTGAAAGTGTGGACTCTGGCAGATTTTCCCTTTTCTTCTGGCACACACTTTCCTTAAACAGAAAAGTCCAGCATGAGGCATCGTCATCTGTCTGGCCTCAGGTGAGAGCTACATGGTCACATGCAATACGGAAGAAGGTATCACAATGAGTCAGTCTACTGGCAAGAGAGAGAGAGTGCAGATAAGATAGAAAGCCAGATGTGCCAGGGACCGCGCTTGCTCATTTACATCAACTTGTTTCTGGAACTAACCAGCACCATGTCAGAAGCAGTCCCTCCCGAGGGTTAATATTCCTCATGACCTAACCTTCCACCTGGCTCCATCATTAAAACACCATTATTTCAACATTGCTAGATTTGAGTCTAGCCCATGCTCAAACATTAGCAGAGTCCCTCTCAGTGCCACAGTGTACCGGAGACATGCCTTTGCCTCATGACTTCTGCGATAGAAACCAACACAGGTATATTTTATATTCCCTAAGCCTCCAGTGAGCCAGAGTCACTGTGAGTAGACACTATCAGAGGTCCCTAGGCCTGCTGCCTGAGAACACTCCCCTGCTCCTGGGTGGAGCCAGTGCCTCCCAGTCCCATTTGGATGGTGTCAGCAGCTCTTCCCCTCATGAAAACCACAGATGAACATACGTTTGGGGTTTTCCACCTCTAAAACTTGGAAGCTGAGCGAAGCACGCAGGGTGAGGGCCCAGTGAGTTTGCTCGGCTGATTATTTGGCTTCTTCTAACTCTTGGTCTCATGGGAAGCAGAGAAAAGCAGCCTTGGTGAAAATTAGATCAGACATTCTCCTCCTCTCCATAAACACAACTTGAAAAGAATGTAAACCAGCTGAGCTGGCAGGGTCTTTGCCCGCCCCAAATGCAGGCACTTACAACATCAAAATTTACTTAGAGACATTTTAACTTGGGTTTCCCCTGGATCGATGTGGAAGACAGAGACAGGATAAGACCTGGGTAAAACTGGTCTATCAAACAGTCCAGTGGTCTCTGCAGAAAACATTGGGGGTTTGCACGGAAGAGTGGAGGGAAACTCATGGCACAGAGCCCCGGATGTGTCCCAAACTGAAATGTGGCTCCCTGGCCCTGGGCTCCGGGACAGACGCTGCACCTGGCTTGATATTTCAGAGCAGTTCTTGGACAACCAGGCTTTCTTCTCAAAACTTCCAGTGCTAATAGTCTGAAGTGTGCAGTCATGATTACACAGGAGGCCTCCCTCAACAACAAGAATTAGCTAGAGATAGCAGAACACTGCGTTATTTATAAGCCTATGCCGTCGAAGCTTTGCCCAGACGCTGTGTTCCGTAACTGTTCCCAGCACAGACTAGCCACTGAGTAGGGCATTCACTTTCTTGTGATATACAGTGCAGGCTGTGTTTCAAAGATAAAACTAAGGACACTGCTTAGACTCCGAGAGCTATTACTTTTCTATCTGGCCCCAGGAATGTTGCTTTTCTTTGCATAAGACAGTTGGCACACCTTCAGAAAAGCAGGGCCTTCCAGGCCAGCCTAGGATGCCATTTCTGGTCCTTGCCACAGGAATCATCATTAAGGAGTCACCGAAGGGTGTGACCTGTCAGTGAATAACTGGAGGCAGGAAATGAGGAAGGAGGGAAACAATATGGAGATGAGGAGCGCAGGAGGAGCGAGGCGCGCTGTCCCTGTGCAGACCTTGGAGACAGCTCCATTGAGAAGAGCTTGGGAATGAAGATCTGGGCTCCTCAGCAGAAAGCAGCATATCAAGGTCCTGAAGCCCACACAGATGAGCAACCGTGGGGTGGGGAAGCTGCAGGAAGACTCCACTTTCAGACCACACAGCGTCGGAGAGTGGCTTGAACCTGTGACATAGGGGCTGTTCCTGTGACTCAGCTGGGCCTCTCAGAACCTCTGTTGTAAGCCTCAGAGGATGGTCAGCCTCTGGGCGTGGTCAGCCTCTGGGTGTGGTCAGCCTCTGGGTGTGGAGTCCTTCAGCCTTCCCCTGTGCTCCAAGGCCACTGCCACCCAGTACCCATTCCCTGGGGTGGTACAGCCATTAGCAAAGCTGTCTTTATGGCAACAGAGGCTAACAAGGCTAAGGATCCAAGATAGATGTATTCATGGTATGATTAAGGTTGATTTTAACCCCTAAGTGTAAGTTTTGCCTTGAGAACAATCCAGATAATATCACTTAGGATTTTTTGGGAAAAAAAAAAAGTGGGGAAAAGTTCTAGATAAGGATATAAACATGGAAAATACATTTGCAAATTACTTTAATACATATTAAAAATAAAGGATGAAGTTCACTTTACAGGACAGGTATGAACACAAGGATGTCCTGCCAATTTGGGAATAATTTGTATTTTAAACAAAAACCAAAAATACAATAGACTGATGGTGGCTAAGATGGAAGTATACAATAAAACATGCTTAGCAAAATGCACAGTTTTCAGATTTTGTGTGTGTGTGTGTGTGTGTGTGTGTGTGTGTTGGAAATTCTTATAATAAAATATCTGGGAAAAAAATCCACATACTTGGCTGTCCAGGAGGGTGAATGGCTCAGCTTGCTCATACTTGGAGCCTGCAGAGTATAAGAATACAGGATCCTAACTGTCTGCTGGGGACTCTGTGGTCACATTTGCGCTCACAGCTACCTGGGAAGTAAGTGCCAGCGCCTCCACTGTATGGAGGGTAAACTCAGGGACACGGAGTGCATATAGGCAGTTTCTCAGAGTCAGGTGCCTGGCAAATGAAAGAATAGGGATTTGAACCACATTGACCAACTCCCGCACCCAAGGCATGACCCCAGCATCACACTTGGGAAGCAGATGTGTTTGCTGTGGCCTAGCCATGGAGAGGGTGCAAAGTGGGGTTGCATATGGAACCTTTGTTCTCTTTAACAGACCTTGCCTAGGACTGGCACTTTAGCCGCTCTCTATTGTTAATGGCCATCCACACTACCACCTGAGAGTTTTATTCTGTTTTCACGTCACTTTTACTTCTTGTTTCAAACAAATTTATGTGCGTAGCATTTTGACATGAAGGAAAGGCTATGTAGTATTTTTTTTAAAGAGTGATTTGTCCCCACTCAAAGACAAATCGTTCTTTATGCAACACATACATAAGAGCAATAAAATTGTCCTTGCTTTTACAGTGATAAATGTAAAACATTAAAATTCTTCAGTGAAACAAGGTCTGCAAGGACTTTTAAATTTTTTTTTCTTCTAACAGTAAGATAAAATTTACTGGACTAGGAAGAACCCAATGGGCATGGCCCACACAGAAAGGGAGTATTTTCACAAGCCCAGCACGTTTCTTCATCCCATCTTCTGACAGTGATCAAAATACACCATGGGCAATTAGACGTGATACACTTGTGCACGTCCTCACACGAGTCTACGAACCATAAGGGCATGGAGGAAGGAGAATAGGGAAATGGAAGACTTGTTCTATAATGGGATGTAATACCATGAATGATGGTGCTGGATGAATACTGTATTCTTCCTGGGGAGTTGTGGCACACACGTTTATCCCAGTACTCAGGAGGCAGAGGCAGGTGGGTCTCTGTGAGTTCGAGGCCAGCCTGGTCCACAGAGTGAGTTCCAAGGCAGCCAGGGCTACACAGAGAAACCCTGTCTCAGAACAACACGATAACAACAAAAGACTGAATTCTTATTTGTAGAAGCAGCATCGGTAGCAGCCTCATGATTTAGTAGACTGCTCTCTTCCGAGGCTGCACCGCACCCTCTGTTGGTTGTCAGCCCATCACACTGGAGCCTCGTCTGCATCATCAAGAAGCCCTGCCCACAGAAGGATTTTCTGGCTCATTTACTAAGCGGTGCACAGCTGTCCACTGACACCACAGACCACTCTTT